AAAAAAATGTATATTTATAGTCACATCTGTATTTTGACTAATATATTTTTTATAATTTCTATTTCTACTACTACCATTCCTACTATTATTTATATTTTTCTACACGTGTATATGCTGTGCATCACGTTAGTATAGGGAATAGGGCTGTTGGGTGTGGTATTAGGGAGTAATATGGGATGGAATTTTCCAAACATAGTATGAGGCGAGCCGAATACGAGGTTGTAAATGCCCAGCCTGATGAAGCTCCGTAAGACCACACTCAAACGCCTATCGCTACATGTAATAGTATAGTGCATGTGTATCGAGTGATCAGTGTGTTATATAGATTAGCTATAGTCATGCTCACACTAGCATCTTTTCCGCGACACTTTTTTCGTGGGTTGTAACTTGTCATGAAGTATTTCACATTGATTTCTAGTCATCTTGATTGATTGGTCGATTTCTGGGGAATTTAAATTTCCCAGTATTACGTGTGAATAGTTAAATTCTCTATGGATCAAATGTATTGGCTGTTATACATAGTATACATTTATTAAAGTATCGACAGAACTATTTTAACTTATTTTTAGAGTTCTAATTTTTCTTCTCCACGGTCTATGCGTGTGCGTTATTGTAGAGTATCGCACGTCTCTCTCGTCGTGTCGTCGTGCTCGCGAGAGTTTCAGAGTTTTACTGAGAGGAAGGTGTTTCGACGAGTTTATTTGTCCTGTTGAGGCTTTCTCTTGTTTTCTACCGCTGTTGTTTTATCCTGTAGCTGTCGTTTTTTGTACATGATTTCTATCTATTTATTTTCTCATGTAAGGGAGGTTGGGACACTGGGTGTGTAGGGAGAGTTGGGCCCATACTCTTTAACCTACCGCCCCAGTTCTCAAGGCTGGGCACCCAGGGTCCTGCCTCTTTCTTTCTGTTTATATGTTATTGTCTGTGTTTTTGTATGCTTGGGTATGTTATTGTCTGTGTTTTGTGTGCTTGGGTGGGGGAGGTTCTTTCTTTTCCTCTGATATTATTCTTTTAGCTAGTATGCTATAAACATGTTTTCTTTTCATGGTGTGTTGGTATGAGGGACTCGGACTCCAGTCCAGTGTATGGGGTCTTTAGCAAGCACTATCCTACAATGTTCACCCCCCTGCCACCATTAATGTCTTGTGCTTTCTTCGCCATACAGCTGCAAACAGGACTGGATGTGAACAGTTCGTTTTGACTCGGTGAAGGGTGTTCGAATTCACGAGCGAAATCGTAATCTTTGCTCTTCTCAACCGTGCCGCCGTCGTCACCTGCTGGCTACTGCTCAGGTAGCGTTAGTGCAGACGGATTCAGGAAGAGTGTGTTTGACGGGAGGGAGGGAGGGCGCAGAAAGGCGGGAGGGAGGACGGAAAGAAGGAGTGATGGTGAGGGAGAGTGTGAAGTAGATAGCGGGTTGGTTTCCGGGAAGGGTGGGGTTTGGTGTTAATACGATTGCGCTAAAGTGGAACGACTCTCATTCGCTCGCTCCGCCTAAAAATGCGTTGCATTTAGGAAACACGATTGTGTTTTCGTGAGTCTTAGTCTATGACGTGATCACCTCTCTTTTGTGAACTCTGTCATACTCTACATATGACAAAAATGGTCGCTGCTGAATTAAGATCTTCAGACATTGGCTATAGGGCCACGATATTCCGAGGCAAATAGTTGGTTTCCGTTTCGCCAAATAACCACCCCGCCCTAAACCTAGATCAATCTCCTATCTCCCATGTTATACACCACAGGAGAATGAGATATGAGCACTCCCGCTCCCTGGTCACACCTCGTCTACAAGCAGTTGGTGGAGATGTTCATCGTCTGTCAGAGTGAGGAGATCCCAACATCTACAGCGAGTTGGTACACTGTACTACCCAGGAAACAAAACAAAAAGTATTTTGATTTGTTTTTTTTACATACCCAGGAAAACAATTACGTACGTATGTATTTCAACAGTTTGATTTGTTTTTTTTTTTTACATACCCAGGAAAACAATTACATACGTATGTATTTCAACAGTTTGAGTTGTACATATGCGAGATACCCCCTGAATTTCTTCAGCCCAAATCAACAGTGAGAGCAGTGTTGGCTGGGGTAGCTTTCCTATACCATACCTCCTATATTTCTCAAAGAACCGATTTTGCCCCACCCCACTGAACGGCAGAAGCCGAGGGTATGTCGGAAGAGGGCCAGGCCAGACAAAATGCTGTATAGTAAATAGTAGTTGCACAGGCAAGTTTGTTGGATCTTTCGTTGCAGATGCACAACTTCTACCCACGCCACCTGTCACAGCTTCCCACTTTATGCTAATTGCGTACCTATGTACGTACATTACTGTGCAATATGGGTTTAATTTTGCCGTTGAGTGAAAGTAACAAATCAAAGTGACTCTAAAGCAGCCGAAACATTTGACGGGGCACACGCCAGCGAAGTCATATTGGTGATTTAGAGTGGCACAGTGTAATTATTATGGACACACATGGGGATGCTGTGGAACCTCTGATAAGGGACCCTCCGAGATAGGGACGACCTCTCTAAAAGGACACTTGTTTCAACCCTATGCTAATACTTTAGTGCACTATTTGACCTCAGAGATAGGGACGACCTCTCTACAAGGAACGAATTGCTGGCCCCATAGTGTCCCTTGTTCAGAGGTTCAACTGTGTTTAGAAGAGCTCTGGACTTAACTCTGACATGCAGTTGTGTATGGTCTTAAGAGTGTAGCCCATCCCGTTGCGATCCAGCCAATAGTAACAATGGTTGAGAATTGGAGTGTGGGGTGACAATGGAGAAAGAGGTGTTGGCAGGTGACAGTAGTAGGCCAGGTGCTCTTCTTCCTCCTTGGCCTGTTAGTGCCTGTCATGGCCGATATCTACCATGGCAACTCTCAATTGCGCGTTCCACTGTAGTTCTTGGGAGAACTTTACAGCTGAACTGACGCTGAAACCAATGCCTCAGCCTGTTGTGTCTCCACTGTAATAGGTCATACAGAGGAGTTCTAATTGAAAGTTAGTAGATAACTTCAGTAAGTACTATCACTGGTTACAAGTAATGTTGAGGACAAGTTAGACCACTCCAGCGTATGTAGGAAGGTGTAACTAGCCTTAGGGGTGCAGACAGCAGCTGGTTACAAATTGAAGGTTGCACTTGTTGAAGTCAATTATTGTTGTGTTTACAGCATGCACAAGTCCACTCTGTATTGTATATACTATACTATGTAGTACTAACTGAACGCACAAGTTCACTGCTGCTGTATTGTATATGTACTATGTAGTACTAACTGAACATGCATTCGAAACAGTCAACTTGGCCAGATGTGATTACATCACAATTGGTAATCTTACGTATTGACACTGCATCTTCTTTTCCTCCTCCCCTTCTCTTTCCCCTTCCTCTCTGCTTCTCCCCCTCCTCCCTCCCTCCCTCCTTCATGTCCTCCCCTCCTTCCCTCCCTCCCTCTCTCCCTCCCTCCTTCTTGTCCTCCTCCTCCCTCCCTCCCTCCCTCCCTCCCTCCCTCCCCTCATCTGCCTTCACTGCACGTCTCTCGAACATTTCTCAATTCTACAGCAAGTCAACTAACATATTGTGGTATGTGTACATATTACTGGAGAATTTTTGGCGAACAAATGTGAGTGCAAATTTTCAAACAGCCCTTCGAAACAAATACATAGATAACATTACAGTATAGTGACAGCGTCGTATTTATGGATTAAGACAATGTATATGTGGGTTTGGTTCTCTCACCAACTATATAACTGTACACAGGGTGGCTGCCAGTGCAGGTGACCACTGGCAGTAGTGTACAGTGGAACCTCTGATAAGGGACCCTCCGAGATAAGGACGACCTCTCTACAAAGGACACTTGTTTCAACCCCATGCTAATACTTTAGTGTATTATTTGACCTCCGAGATAGGGACGACCTCTCTACAAAGGACACTCGTTTCAACCCCATGCTAATACTTTAGTGTATTATTTGACCTCCGAGATAGGGACGACCTCTCTACAAAGGACACTCGTTTAAACCCTGCATGCTAATACTTTAGTGTACGATTTGACCTCCAATATAGGGACGACCTCCGAGATAGGGACGACCTCTCTACAAAGGACACTCGTTTAAACCCTGCATGCTAATACTTTAGTGTACGATTTGACCTCCAATATAGGGACGACCTCTCTACAAAGGACACTTGTTTCAACCCCATGCTAATACTTTAGTGTATTATTTGACCTCCGAGATAGGGACGACCTCTCTACAAAGGACACTTGTTTCAACCCCATGCTAATACTTAGTGTATTATTTGACCTCCGAGATAGGAACGACCTCTCTACAAAGGACACTTGTTTCAACCCGCATGCTAATACTTTAGTGTATTATTTGACCTCCGAGATAGGGACGACCTCTCTACAAAGGACACTTGTTTAAACCCCATGCTAATACTTTAGTGTACTATTTGACCTCCGAGATAGGGACGACCTCTCTACAAGGACACTTGTTAAACCCCATGCTAATACTTTAGTGTATATTTGACCTCCGAGATAGGAACGTACCTCTCTACAAAGGACACTTGTTTAAACCCCATGCTAATACTTTAGTGTATTATTTGACCTCCGAGATAGGACGACCCTCTACAGGGACACTCGTTTAAAACCCTGCATGCTAATGACTTAGTGTACGATTTAACCTCCAATATAGGGACGACCTCTCTACAAGGACCTTGTTTAAATCACCCATGCTATACTTTATGTATTAATTTGACCTCCGAGATAGGGACGACCTCTCTACAAGGGACACTCGTTTAAACCCTGCATGCTAATACTTTAGTGTACGATTTAACCTCCAATATAGGGACGACCTCTCTACAAAGGACACTTGTTTCAACCCCATGCTAATACTTTAGTGTATTATTTGACCTCCGAGATAGGGACGACCTCTCTACAAGGACACTTGTTTCAATAACCCTGCATGCTATACTTTAGTGTATTATTTGACCTGTTCCGAGATAGGACGACCTCTCTACAAGGACACTTGTTTCAACCCGCATACCCATGCTATACTTAGTGTATTATTTGACCTCCGAGATAGGACGTACCTCTCTACAAGGGACAAAATCGTTGGCCCCATAGTGTCCCTTGTTCGGAGGTTCCACTGTATATAATTATTAGAGGGATTGCTTGGGAGTCGTAGCTCAGAGCGTAGTGTACACTTAACTTCCAGTCACGTCTCCTGAGTTCGACTCCTGACAATTATAGTTATTTCTTTTGTATACCCACGTTGCAAGCAAGATATCACACGTAATTCAAACCACGTAATGCTCACACACTGTGGTCCATTAATATAGCATTTTCGTGAAATTCCGCCAGTAATCTTACCACACAGACACACTAGTAATTGAGCCTCTTGTGCAGCTTGCTGGGCCCGACATTTTATACCCTTTCGTCTTCAGTTTTTACCATTCCTTTTTAACAACTTACACCATTCGTGTGTCTCTTTCTCTCCCTTTGTGTGTGTGTGTGTGTGTGTGTGTATGTATATGTGTGTGACATATCTGTATAATTGGCGAGCGGAAGCGAGCTAACCTAGTGGTCCGAACGGCGCGATTTTTCTATATAGATATATATATATATATGTAACCCGCACGTCGTCCAACTACTGCGGCGCATGCGCCAGCATTACGCGCTTCTTCATCTGTTTATCCAACAGGGATTTCAACATTTTTCGTATGCTGGCTGATCGAGCGGAATCAGGGAACGCACACCTCTCGAGCTATCGAGTATTGCTGCACACGTCCAGCGAGAGATTTTCTACATTGCCACGTGTTCCCTATTCCTGTCAAGACCACATCGATTGGCCGATTATGCCTGATGTCGCAGCTGTCGACTGACTGCTTTTTTGACTCGACTCGATTGTCTACTGTCGCTCTCGGGTCGTTTCGGCCTACGTGTCCTGTGCAATGTATCTCACTGTTTTGTGCACACACAGAGTGTGACGCATACGTTGGGGATTAGACGCGGCGCAATTGTAATTCGCGCTTCCGCTCTGCCAAAATCATTGGGCAGGGTGTTCTGCTGACTAGATAGGCATGCCATACATTGTGTGTATATGCATGTGTGTGGTAGTATGTTGTGAACCATTGTGTATGTGTGCGTGTGTGTGACAATATCTGTATATACATCCATCACATTTGTGTATATGCATGTGTATGTAGGTATGTTGACCATGTGTATGTGTGCGTGTGTGTGACATATCTGTATATACATACATACATTTGTGTATATGCATGTGTGTGTAGGTATGTGTGAACCATTGTGTATGTGTGCGTGTGTGTGACATATCTGTATATACATACATACATTTGTGTATATGCATGTGTGTGTAGGTATGTGTGAACTGGGTGGCATGATGGAAGAAGGAGAGCTGGCCGTGTTTTTCAGGAACAACCATTTCTCCACCATTTTAAAGAGACAGGTAACTCAAGTGGCAAGATAGTTCAATGGCAGTGTTTTGAAGCTAGCGCGAACCACCGTGACAAAGTACCGTAGGACAGTTATAATTGAATAGCATTTGCGAATATTTTACTGCTAATTACGTCGCGAATTTATTGGATTTATTGCGTGTGTGCAGTTACGAGCGTACGTAGGGTGGGCTATTAGCGACAGATAATTGCAAAGCTGCCACAAAACATGTATTTCGTGATACTCGTAAATAAAAGCGGTCCTATGGTGCTTTGCTATTACTCCACATGAAATTAGATGTATGCCTGAGTGATGTAATGGTGATGTAATGCCTCGATCTCCTCAGGATCATCTGCTGCTGCTAGTGACGGACCATGGGTTTGTGAATGAGCACGGACATGTGTGGCAGACTCTTTCCACTACTGACGGAGATGAGTCGTTCATGGACGCCAGATTCAGGTCTCTCTTCTTCCCTCTCCTCCACCCTCCCCTCTCTCTCTCTCTCTCCCTCCCATGTCTTTTGCTTTCTCTCTCCCTATCCTTCTCTTCTTCTCTCTGTCTTGCCTTTCATTCTCTCCTTCCTCTCCCCCTCTCCCCCTCTCCCTCGCCTTCTCTGACATTCTATTTTGTTCTCTTCTTCCTCTCTCCGTTCTTCTCTTATATTCTATTTTATTCTCCCCTTCCTCTCCCTCTCTCTCCCTCTCTTCCCTCTCCTTCTCTTCTTCCTCTCTCCCTCTCTTTTCATTAATTTTCATCTTGTCTCTGTCCAGCAATCTCACTATACACTGGAACCCCTCTAATCTAGACACCAATTAAATGTCCATTATGAGCAACATTTAAGATTTACTTATTTTAGGGGTTAAAATCGCATGTTTTTCAGGGAAAGAGAGAAATGTCCTCATTTCAGGGGTGTCCTTAGAGAGGGGTTCCACTATATAACACTATAGCCTTTCAAAAGAATATTTTCAGGAATTGTGGAGTATGTACTTTTCCACTGTTATCGCCAAGATAACTTCCACTGATGGTTGTCCATCAATACCAACTTTAATTCTCCTCTTATCGCTATAGGCCGAGTGCCGTGAGTGAAGTACAGCAGGAGAGGGAGAAGGAGGGGGCGGAGTCTCAAGACCAGACCACGCCCACCAGGGACCCCCCACCTGTTTCACAGGACGTCGAGTACGTTGACGTAACTCCTGCACCGATTTCAAGTACAGATATCTGCACCGCTAACGAACACGCGATACGACGGTAGCTGATGAGACGGAACGAAATAAAGTCTGTCATCATAATTATTGTGAACCAGGCTCTTTAGTTTATAATATTTGCTGCACTGATTTCCTTGTGGGTACGTATTTCCCCAGCTATGCATTATGTTAAAATCAGAGGCCCAAACTCCCAAAGTAAGGTTGCTGTAGCTGTTTAGGTGATTTCTGCTGTAGTTCACACATTTAGTGTGTGCGTCGCCATTAGATAATACACACTCTTATGGTCACACTCTTATGGTGATCACGAATATAGTGCAAAAAAATTGGTATGAAAAGGTATGGAGTATATACATCCTTGTGATTTACGTATAAAACTTCACTTCCTGCGCTTTTCCCAAATCTGAAATAATGTGAATGTCAATTACATTTCGTACTATTGTAAGCGTTAAGAATTAGTGGCAACTCTGTTTCCTATTCCCTCTCTCCCTCCCCTATATACCTTCCTCCCTTCCTCCCTCCCTCCCTCCCTCCCTCCGCTCATCCCCCCCCTCCCTCCCTCCCTCCCTCCCTCTCCTCTCCCTCCCTCCTCCCCCCTCCCTCTCCCCCCTCCCTCCCTCCCTCCCCCCCCCTTCCCTCCCCCTCGTCCCCTCCCTCTCTTCTCTCCCTCCCCATATCCCTCCTCCCCTCCTCCCTCTCCCTCCCTCCCTCCCCTCTCCCTCCGCTCCCTCCCTCCCCCCCTACCCTCTCCCCCTCCCCCTCCCCTCCCTCCCCTCCCTCCCTCCCCCCCTCCCCCCTATTCCTCCTCCCCTCCCTCCCCCTCCCCCCCCTCCCTCCCTCCCCCCCTCCCCCCCCTCCCCCTCCCTGCCGCTTGCCTCCCTCCCCCTCCCTCCCTCCCCCCCACCAGCTATCAGACAGCCCTAACACTACAGCAGGAGGAGTACAGAGCAGCAGGAGAGTGGAGACTGATAACACCGACCAACCCTCCTCACCTCAACAGATTCACACAGCGTGAAGGAAGTACTGTAAAACTATACAGTGGAACCTCTGAACAATGGACACTATGGGGGCAACAATTTTGTTTCTTGAAGAGAAGTCGTCATCCCGTACTCGAGGTCAATCTACACTAAGTATCTACAATGGGGTTGAAACAAGTTTCCTTTGTAGAAGGTTCGTCCCGAATCTCGAGGTCCAAATAATACACTAAGTATTAGCATGGGGTGAAACAATGTGTCCTTTGTAGCGAGGTGCCCTATCTCGGAGGGTCCTTTATCAGAGGTTCCACTGTAAATATGTTGTATGTCTTTTTTAGCATTGGCAGGGAACAATATGCAGGGTCTATATACAAATTATATACGGCATTCGTTACGCAGATTACAAGCCTTTCAGACCATTTTTGCATAAAGCATTACGATATAGACAGGTATGTGGAGAGACAGTGCCTTCACAATATGATTATCGGTCAGGCGCTGTCACTACCGTAATGCTCTACGTTATTCTAAATACGCGCAAAACACACACGAATTGAAATGGTCGCGCTCTCAACGCGGACGCTCGCCAAAATTGCGTGGCAATCGTTCTAGTTGTAAATCACAAAGTGAGGTTCCCTCTTGTTTTAAAAACCCACCACAACCACTACCTTAACTAACACCCCACCCACACCCCTAACACCACCCAAACCACCACCAAACACCCAACACCCACTATTTTATTCGTGTCCTCCCTCTCCCTCCTCCCTCCCCCTCTCCCTCTCCCCCTCCCTCTCCCTCTCCCTCTCCCTCTCCCTCCTCCCTCTCCCTTCTCCCTCCTCCCTCTCCCTCTCCCTCTCCCTCCGCTCCCTCTCCCTCCTCCCCCCCTACGCAGTGTGGCAGGACCAAATACAGCTGAGGAATACGAGAGAGCATCACAGGCTGACAGACAACACAGACCAAATGTGAGCATAATTTATCGTGGAACCAAGTGATTTAGGAAGCCTCGGACCCTGTCTAACACCTCACCCTCCTAAACCCGTGTTGTTTCCTATGATTCGTATTATTCTAACTACAGTGGAACCTCCGATAAGGGACCCTCTGAGATAGGGACACCTCTCTACAAAGGACACTTGTTTCAACCCCATGCTAATACTTTTAGTGTATTATTTGACCTCCGACATAGGGACGACCTCTCTACAAAGGACAAAATCTTTGGCCCCATAGTGTCCCTGTTCCACTGTATACGTATTCCTCCCCTTTCCCTCCCTCTCTTTCTTTGCTGTTCTTCTCCCTCCTCCCCCTCTCTCTCTCCCCCCTCTCCCTCTTTTTTTGCCCCCACAGCCACCATGCACAATCTTTTAACTCTCAACTGTACCGTGTCATCGTAATAATAGTCACCAGTCACCATAATGATAATACATAGTCACAGTGTCTCTTTTTACTGACATAATACAATATGTGATCACATAAAAAAAGTAATAATCTAACAACCCTAATAATAGTATAACTGTGCTGCAATAAAAATAATATAAAAAAAAAAGTGAGAGAGTTACAAAAATTGATTGCCCATAAATAACACTCAGAACGTTTGTGAGTTGGTGGGATTTTGACTGTTCAAAATGTGAGTGAGAGGGTGAGAAGTAGGGAAGGAGAAAGAGGGAGAGAGTGTTGGGAGGTCACTAGGGGAAGAGGATGATTGACAGAGAGAGAGAGAAGAAGAGGGAACTAGAAAAGTGGGCGGGATAATGGCGGTAGGGTGGGAGGGAGGGAGGGAGCGAGGTCACTCGGGGAAGAGGGTGGTGACGTGATCGACCATGAATTTGAGGAGTGAGTTGGCTGGGCTGGAAGGGAGGTAGGGGAAGAAGGACTGCCCACAGGAGGTGGCCAGTGTTCCCGATGTCATCATGTTCCACTCACTGTACTCCACAACCTGTTACATATGGAGGAGGGGCAGCTGCAATAATATCAGATAATCACCGACCACATCCCCAAACTCTAATAAGGGTGTCAACGATTTTGTATTTTTTGTAGGAAAATCAGTGGAAGAAGAGACAAGCCAACCATCCTTATTGTTTATGATCGAATAAGAATGTCACAATCGTATAATCAATCGATTCACAGAAGAACAACATTATTATGGCCACACTGACTACTAGCAATGCTTCTTTTGTGAGCGAGTGCGAGTAGTTCAACATTCTGTACACGCATATTTGGAATCACGTAAAACTGTGTGCAGTGGCAGTGTCTGTTCAATCATTGAGACAACTAGGTAGGCTCACTTCGCTTCCCAAATAGTAATCTACTATTTGAGAAACATAAATAGGCTCTCAGGGGAGAAATTTACGTTCAAACAAGAATTTCACTTTCATAGCTGGTGGTTCCGCAATTCAGTTTCCCGTGTCAAAAAGTTAAATGGACGGATCATAACCCTCAAATTGCAAGTGTTCTTCTCTCTCAGAAAATTTGGCTACATTGGCCTAAAGGCTTTGTCTGTCACCATGACCGAAATGGAGCCTGCCTAGTCTTGAGTCCTGATATTTCCATGTGTAATGTATGCACAACCCCGACTGGAACAGCACATGGTAATGCTATACTTGATTCTAAATACCCGCGAAAGACGTGCGAAAAGTTGAACTGCTCGCTTCACTCGTCAACAACACTATTTTGAGAGTATGGAACCTTGGAGAGTAGTTCGGTGACCAGTCTGAGTGTGGCGAGACTGTCTCGTGGTAGACCCTGCAGTACCTGCCTCACTCTCTCCTCCTGTGAACAACATCATCATCATCCATCATCCGTGCAAATTCACAGGGGATACATAATGGCCAAACTGTTACGTAAACTATAGGCAATATGGACTAAACATTAATTCATTTGATCATTAGCATGCACTCGTTCATAATTCATGTAGCTGACTTGCACGTGTACTCTAGGCGCCACATAAACCGGTTGTACTAGTTGTGTGGTCAGTCAGGTCATTTAGCTGAGAAAGAGAAAGCTGTTGTAAAGGGACCTGGCTACGAGGAATTGCGAACATCCTCAGTGGAGCAGGCGGCTCTTAGTGTTGGAACTAAACCCTGTGCAAAAAGCATTTCTGTCCACAGCTATTCTGGTACAACAGGCTACAAGACGAGCGATACCAACGGCAGCTCGTATCACACTGCCACACTACAATTCCGAAACAATATACGCTGCTTTTTGCACTCATGTTGAATCCACTCTTTTAATAGAAACACAGGCAGCTAATAATAGAGAGGGGGGAGGGAACGTTTTGGAAAGTAGAAAGAAAGGATGTTGAGAATAAGGCGGAGAAGAATAAAAACGGAGAAGAAGAAGAAAAAGTAGGGGAAGAAGAAAGAGATGAGAAGAAGAACACTCACATCTCTGTCCTTCACAGCAGCTGTGACCTCCTGGAGGGGTTTCCCCCTGGGAATGATGGACACGCGCCACTCTCTGAAGTGGTATTTGAGTAGCCCAGCGATAGTGTGGGGATCAAGGACCTGCATCAGGTCAACTGGCTCTCCTGTGGTGTGGGGAGGGTGGGAGGGTGAGAGGGGAGGAGAGGTGTAGTTGTAGATTGTAGAGCTCCAAAGTGGATTTAACACTTAACCAGCCAAGGACACATAAATGTGTCCAGAGCCTCCATATGGGGGTTATAATACTAGGCACTAATACTTTACACATCAGTTTCTGCTTATTCAAGCAGATACCCATGGCGTACGTTTAAGGGTTAACAAGCACACTCTTGCTATTAAGGGGGCCTAAATGTGCACATCGATGGCCGAAAAAGAAATACTTGTCACATTTCACGGTTTTTGCCCCTGGCGGACGATGGCCATCTCCAGTTGTTTTTGCCCCTGGCGGACGATGGCCATCTCCAGCTGTTTTTGCCCCTGGCGGACGATGGCCATCTCCAGCTGTTTTGCCGGCTTTGCCGGATCCGGGATCCACAAAGCTTAGTTATCCCCTAGTCCAAGTATTCCAGGCCCCTCCCCCTACCCAGGCCACTAGCAGACACATTATTCAAGAAGTCATCGATACGTATAAATCAGGCCCTGCTATAAGAGAGATATACTGACCTCTGATGTAGTCAGAGCGAATCTTCTTGACGGAGGAGACTTCGCCAGGGATACGGAACAGCCCCGCCTCCCTCAGAACACAGTCTCTGTTGAGATAGGCCACGCACAGAATGACCAGGGGATCCACTATCCCTTGAGGAAGGGGGTCTATGAGAGGAGGAGAGAGGAGGAGGGGGAGGGAGGGAGGGAGGGAGAGAGGAGGAGGGGGAGGGAGGAGGGAGGGGAGGGTGATTGGAGGGAGTTGTTGTGGGGAGATAAATCGTCTACCAAACAGGTCAGTGAAGAATCCACTGGAAAAACAAGGGTATCGTACTATAGCTATGTTGAGGGTGTTTTCAGCTTTGATTTAGACAAAAGAAACCCAATTCCTACGGACAGTTGCTCTATAGCAGACACAAAATTATGCTACAGTAGTGGTAAAGGCTCTCAAACTGCAATTTCCCCCCTTTCCCTCTACAGTTGCTGAAAAGACCATCTGAACAACAAAGTAATAAATAAAGTAAAACCTTGTTCCTATGTAGTTGAGTCTAGTGAGATGGACTTTGCACTACATGTTAGATCTGTACAGTGAGTTCATTCCGGCCCATCACACTCAAGGCTCCCCACTAAATTACAGTGGAATACCTCTGAAACAAGGTGACACTTATGGGCCAAAGGATAGTCCCCTTCGTAGAGATGGGCATCCTCTATATTCTCAGAGTGTTGTATATATTACCACTTAAAGTATTAAGCATGGGGTTTACTTTTTTTTTTTGTGTTTTTTAAACAAGTGGTCTTTGTGTGATCTTGAGGTTTTCGTGGGACGTATCTCGGAGGGTCCCTTGTCGGATGGTTTCCACTGAT